TGATTGGCCAGTTGTCAGACGGTGTGCACGCTGATTGGCCGAGGCGCGCCGCCCGGAGCTCCCCCGCCTGCCTCGCAGCAATGCACGCTCCTCCCCGCCCGGCCCCGCCAAAAGACTCCCGTGCGGCCTTCGGTGCAGCCGGGTTGCGGATACCGACGCTATACCCAAAGCGTAACGGCGCCTTGCGGGTGAAATCGCCATTTATCTCCCAGACTAGAAAACAAACAGACACACTATTACGAATAGCGTTGTCCACAAGAGGAAGTCGTAGACTTGGCAGAGATAAAAAGGCCGTTGATCTCTACGTTGTCAGCATCACCAGTATTTCTGCGACTCAATCATTAACTCAGACTGGGTGCAAAATGACGCCTCTCTAATCAGGTGCACAGCGCCACCCTACTTTCTTTTGCAAGACTAAATAGTTACCTTGCACCGCAGCGCCGGATCAGCGGACAAATGACCTGTAGATGTTTGTGGCGGGCACCTCTCATCGAAGCGCAAAGCTAGCCATGCCTGTGAGACAGGCAGGTCGCCAAGTCACCTATGTCACTTAACATTTTTCGGCTATGTCAATTACTATTACAGTTGATTTGAAGGAGAACGGACTTGCCTTTAAGAGATTTACATAAAAAATATTACCTCTAAGCATGTTTTTAAACGAAGATTTTTTTTTAAAAATTACTTTTAGTGTGCATGAATTTATAAAGAAAAAAAGACCTCCTGTCTCCCTCAAAAAATTCTTGTATAAATGTTTAACAACAGTTAAAATTTACATGTTGAAAGGAACTAGTCTCCTAATTAAATGCTGCATTCTATATCTTGAAGTAAACTTAAAATCACTTAGACGCTTTTCTACTTAACACTTTGAAATAACACCTCTCGGAATCAGTTTAGGAGACAGATTAGGAAAGTGAGTGCCATGGCGCTGAGCACATAGTAGGCTGGCAACAATTATTTGGAAGTTAAAGGAAGGAAATTGCCGGACTGAATCTAACGTGACCTTTCTGGGAGCCGCTCAGGAAGTTAGAAGTTAGCAAAGCTCAGAGAGTTTGGAACAAGGCAGCTTAGGAAACACCGTGAAACTAACGCAATCCGCAGGGTGCGCAGGTATCCTCCAACCTTTGGCGAGTTTGGAAAGTCCTTCCCGGGCGGCGACCAGGCACTGTGACTTCCCTTTGTGCGGGACTTCTCCCTGGAGTCGCTTAGGACGCCCAGGGAAGGAAGTAGAGACACCGTCCAGTTCATTCCTCTGGGCAGCTCTGTCCCGCTGGCGGCTCGGAGGGTGTCTTGGGAGCCGTGCAGGCTCAGACATGGGATAGAGTCAACCGCGCGTGCCTCTCGCTTGGCATCACTTAATAACACCAGTGGGTTTCACCTTTGGCGTAGCCCCTTATACTTACCAGAGTACCTTTGTTCACCTGTTAGTTTGGATTCTTGACTGCGGAAGAATTGTTATTTTCCCCCGATCTTACAATGACGAAACAGGCTTAAAGAGGAGCCCTGTTCCACACAGTGGTCTGCGGGAGGTCAATGGACTGGTGAGCACTTTGGTACTATGTCGACCTCTGCTCTGACGTCTTAGCAAGTTCCTGGAGCCCTCCGGTACCAGCAAGACTCACCGCGGTTCGCGTTTATTTTATTCCCCTGCAACCCGAGTACTCATTTTAGTACCTGACATTAGGAGCAGCCCTCCTGTAACAGGACAGGGCACGTTTTTATCAGCTCTTGTGTGTGTGTGTGTGTGTGTGTGTGTGTGTGTGTCCCTGCTAGTTACATTTCTGTCTTTGAAACCAAGCTCCGCGAAGAGTTTGCAATCTGCAACCCACCCACCCGCGGCGGTTGTGTGTACTCCGGTTGGCCAGCTGGGCTTTTATTAATCGCTTGGCGGGTGGGGGAAAGCAGGAAATCATTAGCCTTTCACCAGTTATTATGAAGATTAAGGAACAAAATCAAGAAAATAGATTTGTTAATTTGGGGCAACTATAGTGGGGAGAAGGGGGACCCGGAAGGAACAGGAGGAGAAATCGGCTTGAGCAGCTGTTTACTAAAATAAAGTAGATGGGCAGCCCTTGAACTA